TCGCTTTTTAAGCAGAGGATATAATTATATATAATACTGCTGATTTTTTCTGTCAGTACGATGATTTCCACCATCGAAAAACAATGTTTACCTAATCCTTTAGGCTCGATAAATCTTTTACTCCTTTAGATTCTGAATCATCACATTGACCTTAAAATATAGCTATAATTGTATAATGTTATATGAAATCAACATATCATCAATTTATTCCCAATTAGCTCAGGTGAGCATTTTGGCCAATATGCTTTTTTTATCTATTTTTTTTTTTTTTTTTTGCCCCCTAAAAATTCCAAAGGGAGTCATTTTTTTACGGGGGTCATTTTTCTTCACGTGGGTTCTGTGAATTTTCAGGGTGGTGACACTTTTTCTACGGGCAAAAGGGTCATTTTTCGACGTTGAATAATGACCAGGGTCATTTTTCGCTGTCGAAAAATGACCCCCGGTCATTATTCGATGGGGGTCATTATTCGTCTTTACACCGGCACATATTTAATTTGGTCTTCCTTAGCAAAATATGGACACTGCCATTCTTTCTTTAATATTGAAGGGTATCCATCTCTTATCTGCAACTTCCCACAAACCACTGAATAAAATTTAATGAGAGTTTTTCGGGCTATAAAGCATCACCATATTCTGAAATAGTCTTTGATATGAATAAATGTTTCTTAAGTCTTTCTTTATGTTTCATGCGTATAAATTTAATCATATAATTATATTTGTAAAAAACAATGTTTCAGTTGTAAAGCAAATCAAAATCGCTGGGGAAAGTAAGCATTTTTGTCGCTTTTTGTCTATAAACATATGCTCCCCACCCCACCCCCCGAAACTTAAAAGGAATTTTTGTTTCACTGGGGGCGGGGGGTAGAAATATTTTCCGTTTTCTGTTGATTTCTATAGTGAAAAAACTCCAGTTTTACCAAAATGTTAGAGTTATTTCTTGTTGTTTTCCAGATAAGAAATGTGTTATGAAAATCCATATAAATATCAATACAAATATTAAAAATCATTCGAATACTCTTTACTTTTGAAAATCAACTTGGAGGCACTATCAGGTGCTATGGAGGAGTGAGCATCCCCTGTCGACCGGTCACAACCGCCGTGTGCTCCTTATCATGATTCATGATGATTGGAACATAACGGAAAAAATCTGTCTACAATACAATGTGTAAATGATGGCATAACCATTAGTATCAAAAACTCCATTCAATATTTGACATAATGATAAATTGTATTTGCTGACAAAGGTCATTGTATCGACCATAGAATTTACTAAAATGATGACTTTAAGCGAGATTGCTGTGATTCTTGTTTCAGCAACTTGTTTGTCAATAATTTAACTCGTTTTAGAAACTTCAAATCTAAAAATGATGAATGAGTTCATTTACATGAATCAATGATCAAAATGGAGATGAGAATAATTAATAAATGATGAAAATATATGCATATGGCATTAAAAAAGTAAATGAAAGAAAAAAATAAAATCCTCAACAAAATTATAAATTCAAAACAATTTAAAAAATTATGAACAATTGATTGTAGATGAGATGATGACTGATAATAGATTGATGATATTATGTTGATGATGATGTGTGATGAACTGTTAATTTTGTGATAATTATGATGTGTTATGATGATGACAATATGATGATGATGGATAGTAGTGATGATGATTTTTATGTATATGCGATGATGATTAAGGGGTGATGAGCTGATGATGATATGATGATAAGGATAATGTGTGATGACGATACAATATGACGATGATGTGATGCTATAGTGATGATAATTTTGAAGTGGTGATGATGATGATGAAGTCTTGTTGTCTCTAACAGTTCTATATTTCCACAAATTAATTCACATCGTTAAACTTGATCATAAAGAAGTCCCCCCGGATCACGCTGACCCAGCAGTTTCTTTAGCTTTGTGGTTGTCCTCTCAACAAAGTTCGATCATCTAAACCGGAATGTAGAGCTTAGCGTCTGTGGTAGAGGGTCCTTGCTCAGGGCCAAGAAAGCTTTGGTGTTACTGAGGCGGCGCTGAAATCTTTTGATCTAAATGATAAAGATTGAAGTTTTAAAAGCAATTCAAATTCAAATCAGTAAGAAAAAATGTATAATATTTTAATAATAATAATGCTCTAACTAATTCAAAATCGTTATCTCCCTTGTAAATACATTAACTTACATTAATAGTTTCATCATTGTCTTCTAAGATCCTTTGATAATTTTCAAACTACTTTTACTGAGCCTAAAAATAAAAAAAATATGTATTATGCGAATAATTTATGTGGCTTTTTTTCAAATGCGAGATATATCGTATGAGAAATACAATATATTATTTTTTTAAAGTTTGATCTTTCTTTAATACTAATATATGATTTATTAAAATCGTGTAGTAGTGTCCATAAATGTTTTCCTGTTTTAAATGTTTAAAAAGTAGGCCACCAAGAATTTAAAAATAAAGTTTGAAGATCGAGTAAAAAGTTTAAAATGTTCAATTAAATTTTGAATTTGCTTACACATAGACCTGAATTAATTTGAAATCGCAATTCGCATGAAAACCGACAACTTATACATTTTCCTAATTCAATTTTTACATAGCCCTCTATTGCACTAAAATCCGTTTGTAATTCACAATGTATACTGGCCTTTTCTGTAATATTTAGAGTATAAATAACGTAACACTTTTGGCCAGGTTCAGAACGTGTTGGTCCCACATTCTTTGAAGAGTACACAAGTCTGTCGTCGTAATGGAATTCTTTTTCAAATCCCTCATAAATAAGTAGGAGAACAAAATGTACTTAAGCTTCTTCTGTTGATCTATAAAGAAATGATAAATCTAAAATAGCAAATATATGCACAATGCCACAATAAATGATTATAAAAAGCGTTCAGTGGTATTAGAATAAAGACCATTGATTCAGTCATGTACACGTAAAAAATTATGGAAAAAGTGAGATCGATACATAATAAATAAATCTCACCAGAGATGTCTGTGACGCTGGAATAGGAAGACCAAACGTGTTTGCTTGTAGTCTCTTTACCGTATAGAAAAATTAACATTTGAAGAATATATAGAGGATATTCAATGTTTTGTAGTTGAATATGTATTTATTTCACTAGTGGGACCGGATTTTCTTATATTTTCATGAGTGCGATTAGCACGAGTGGAAATTCAAAAAAAAAATCCTGTTTCATGAGTGAAATAAATTCCATATTCAATTACAAAATATTGAATTTTCTGTTTATTACATTTTTAAACAAAAATCTTTGATTTTTCCTTTGCCTCTGTCTTTTTGTAATACAATCATATTCTCGTGACGTCATAATTGAGCTGTTGAGACGTCATAGCTAAGTGAGGTGAAAACACTGTAAACATGGATTTAGCAACATATTTTTGTAATTTTTGACAGTTTTATTCGCTGTCAGAATGGTTTATTTATTTCCATTTATCTTATATTATGTCAAGAAAGCTTTTTTACAACAATCTTCGTTATGGGAAGGGAAATCGAGAGTTTTCCTGCACTTCTGATATTCGTCACACTGTGACAGCATGCGCGGATATAAGAGGGGGGTGGGGGGTGGGGGGGTCAGGACCCCCCCCTGGAATTTCCACGGTTAAAAAATGTATATATTAAAGCAAGAGAAAAGTCACCTTGGACCCCCCCTGGAAAACGCTGACCCCCCTGGTGAACATGAATATGTGTGAAATGGGCATGAAAAGTGAAAGATTTGAGGCAATAGAACTCACAAACTACCCCCCCCCCCCACGAAATAGGTTTTTCACGTTTGGGCGAGTTAAAGTTTTTTTTTTTTTTTTTTTTTTTGCTTGTCTAGAAATTTCTGGGATTGGAATTTTTTTTTGACTGGGTGGACCCCCCCCCCCCTGGAAAAAATTTCTGGATCCGCGCCTGGACAGGATATCATTTTGATATCCTTTCACACTGTGACAGAATATCATTTTTATTCAATGAATAAATTACAGTATTTCACGGGTAAAAATGTAATAAAATTATTTTCTCTGAAAAAAATAAATCAAAAAATGTTAAGCCATCTTTCATCATTGGGCCAGTTTTTTTTTATCATTCTTCTGATAGAATTTCATTCCCTAACCCGAAATTAATTAATATCTACAATCACTGTGAATGAAAAATACAGTGATATCGTTTATAGTTATCTTAGAAAACATCAGAAAACATATCAACAAATAAAAAAAATTACCAACAGGCGTCAATTGTCGTCCTTGAGTTTCCATTTATGCAATCAAGGAATCTCCTCTGATAAAGTCTTCGTTTGCTAAACTCAAGAATGGTTTGCAACCTTTGTGACGCCAATATATTATGACGCATAGTTATTATGACGTCATCAAAAGCAGTTGAAGCTGCGACTGAAGTATTCCGTCAACTTTTTTGTTCGTATTCAGAATCATTTGCAGCGGTATTTTCATTTAATTTATTTTATGTTTTCATATACATGTATGATATAATACCCAAAATTATGATCCCCCTTGTAACATGTGTAATGAAAACACATCAACATCATCAAAATGCAAGCTTTTTCTGCATGACATGTGTGGATTTAGAAGGGGGTTCGGGTTCTGACCCACCTTCCTCTAAATTTTTCAGTTTTTTAAATAAAAAGACAATAAACCATTCCCCACATTGTTCCACGTCTGTACCAAACTTCTTTCAGTACATGAACCTTTTTTTTTTTTTCAAAACCGCATTGCACATGATGCATTAACATGCAATAAAACAACAAGCTCAGTATATTTACATTGAAGCTGAAACCCATTGTTTATAATCACTACATTCATTGCTACAGGTATTTGCATTTATCGTTGTCATTGTCTTATTTATTTATTTTTTTTTTTTTATAGTTCATTCTGCGTTGATCTGAATTTATCCGATCCTGAAAATTCAGGCCATTCAGAACCGCCTCTGAAGAGCCAAAAGTTGCACAAAAAGTTCAGTGTTCTGCCTGTCCAAAGTACAGTGTTCACAAAGGTTTTAGTCGACTGGTCTAAGTTGATCATATTGGTAATTGTCATGTTTTAGGCACTGTGTCTACATTGTAATTAGTAATGGATATGGACATGATGCGAACTTCTCTTTTTTGTTCTACTTTCACAGCCGATAACGTTACTCTGTTAATATATATATATATATATATATATAAAAAAGAAATAGCAATATTGCATGCAAATCAACATAAGGCCTAACACTTTTAAACTGTTGAAATAACTTGAGATTCAGCATGTTTCTAATTCTATTTCATATACTCCATGAAATGGTTTCAATAAATGTTGCAATGAAAAGTGTTGCCATGGTTACCAAATAGAGTTGTTAAATTATGAAACATATGGAGATAACGAACAGTAGTATTCAAGATCAAAAGTCCATAAAACAATACAAAATAGAAGCACAGCAAACACGGACCTCCAAAACATCAGAGGTGGGATCAGGTGCCATGGAGGAGTGAGCATACCCTGCCCACCGGTCACAACCACCGTGTGCTCCTTGTCATAAAATTCTTTCAAAATGCATCTCCATCCTCAAGGCTCATGCAGGTAATTAACTTACCTGTAGTACAATATATTATAGGCCTACATTGTATATATAGACGATATAAAGACATATAATTCAGTTTTCTTTTTTTTCAATGAACAGTGTTTCCATGGATACAATGTACAAAAAAAAATCATTAAAATACTCTCTAAAACAAACACCTCCTACAGTTATGGTCTGATCATAGTGCTTGCCCCAAAGTGTCACACTGTAAAACATATTACTACTGTTTGATATTAAGGGAAAGCACAGAACTTTGAGCACAAGTAGACCTCACTAATACATAAGTCTGATTTGGGGGTTTTAATTTAGATCAAGATAGTTGCCATGGTTACTTACATAGAATTTTTTTCTCTGAAATATCTACTCATGCTGTATATCATTTTTTGGTCTGTTTTCTTTTTATATTTAACTTGGCACACATGCAGTTAAAATAAAGATACATCTCAGTGATTTAGATGTTCAGTGTTGCCATGGTTACTAAAATATCTGTATAATACTTTCAACACACTAGCTACTGCCTCTTTAGTTTAGGTCTGATTTCTATATTACCTGGCACACTAGAAGACTGCTCTAAGATATAAAGTCTAAAATAAAAACCAGGTTTTTCATTTTAATGAATGATATTGCCGTGGTCACAAAAAATAATATTTTTCCTTAGAGAATGGGCTATAAGTAAAATCCCAACCAGAAAGCACTGAACTTTATCAGCAAAATAAGCAAGCAAACAAACAATTTATATACTGAATAGCCTTCAAATCCCTACATGGCTGGGAAGAAAATGTGTAATTTAATCCATCCCACTCATTATCAAATTGCAGGGACAACCTACATACACCTTAGAATAAAAAAAATGACAAACTTCAGAACCATGCCAAGCTACTTTCCCGATTTCTGCCCGCACATAGAACCCTGTGAACTGTTACTCATACTAATGGCAAGTGTTTTAATGTCATATGACACATTAAACAATTCTAATGGTGAAAATTCCAGTATCCATAGAATAAGTAATCTTTCAGCTTTATTTTGCATTTAAGTCTCATATCAGTGCAATAATTCTGCTTGTCAATGATTGCATGTAGTCTACCATTTTGACAAGTAATTTCTGCAATTCCAGTTTTCTAAAGTGATGACTATTGTCTGATAAAATTCATACTGTATACATGTCTTACAGGTCCTAAAGATTCAATTGTTTTTAATATTGGAAAGGTTAGAGAAGTTTGTTTGATATATTTTGGGGAGAAAAATTGGGCTTATCTTTGAAAATCAATTGAGAGGTCTTGTAAATAAAGTGAACTAAATCAGAACTGCAAACAAACTTCTTTAGCTTTTAAAAATGTTGTTTAAAATTTAGACATGTTAGATCTTGGTAAAATGAATAACAAATTAGGTACATGTAATTTATGAAGAGTTTGATTATTTAGGTGAGCGTTGTCCTGTATGTCATTTCTATTGCAAAGAGAGGAACACTTTCGAACAAACGGACAAGGACAAAACTATCACAACAGAGGGATACCAACACAGAGAAAGGGGACCATCACACAACAGCACAGCATTTTACTACAAGTATGGATTGTGAAAAATTCAGTCGCTTACTCCAGTCTGAAAATTTGGGAGAATTTGCAGATTCTCTGTTTAAGACTGATGATTGTCAAAGCAAGGAGGAGGATGCTTCCAAGAATTCACCAAAACCCAGAATGGAGACTTCGAGACTCAAAGGGAAATGTAAACAAACGCAGACCTTGTCAGAAATGACTGACCAGCAGTTAGAGCAGTACAAACATTCACCCGAGACGGAGCTGGCAGATCTAGTATGTAGTGCCTGCAAGACAGACAACTCCTCAGAGCTCAAGGATTATTTAGAGGTATTACACACCTACGTATAATCATTTCAGCTTTAAAATTCCCTATCTTACCTCAATTGCAAAAATATTAGATTTTGAAAAATTCAGGGCTAGAAGGGCTATTAACAACAGTTACAAGGACTAATTTGCTGTGGGTGGCAATACTCTCCTGATCTTTCAATATTTTTTTTATTTGGAGAGCTTGCAGTTCTGTAGCTATGAAGCAATACATGCGTAAGGCAAATATATATTGTAGCCTGGCTGTTGTGGCTTTCTATTTTGTAATCTGTGAAGATGATATATTTATAAGTTGTGGCTATATTTATACCCCCCGCAAACAAAGTTTTGGGGGGGGCTGTTGACCCTATGATTAACGAAACAGACATGCACCTTGTCCGTGTCCTGTAAACATGTAAGGATTTCTCCTTAATTCCTGTCTGTGCAAAAGTGTGGTTTGTTTTATCATATCATTTTGCAAAATGTGAACTAAAATTCTTGCTTACAAATTGTATATTAAGTCAATTTTTGCGCTGCCTACTGAATACCCATCTTCACTAGCCACACAAAGATTGCCCATGACCGAAGGGTGTGTTATTACCTTTTCTTGCACTGTAAGGTCATGATCCCTTAGTTTACACAAATGGTATATAGGGCAAGTTTTTACAAAAGTTATATATTCGTTGATGTCCGGCTGCATGTATATGCTGATGAAATCTTATGGATAAACTTGGTAGGTTCTCCCTTGTTTCTGACCACAGGTATATATCCATGACCTGTTAAGGGTGTGTTATAACTTTTTGATTTCTTAATAGGTCATTGTTAATGGTGAACTTCAAGGTCACTGGACTAAGTGATTTGTGTCCGGTCCATATCTTTCTTATGGATAAGTTTGGTAGGTTCTCATTTCACACAAAGATTGTCCATGACCCAAGGGTGTGTCATGACCTTGACCCAAGGTCATTTGGGGAACTTCAAGGTCACTGGAAGAAAAATTTCATAATTCATGTGTGATACATATCTTTAATTATGGAAAAACTACTTCTGAAAAACCCAGCGGGGGGTTTTTCCCGTTTGGACAGTTCTAGTTTATAGATTGTGATGATGTTTTGTAGGTTGTGATAGCTAAGTTGGCAAACAGTGATTAACGAAACAGAATTCAGTGTATCGGGGATGAACGGCCCTTCATTTCGCTGTGTCCTGTAAACATGTAAGGATTTCTATTTTTATGCCTTAAAATTCAAACAATAAGTAATGAACTATGAAAAATAAAGTGAGGTTTGTTTTATCATATCATTTTGTAAAATGTGAACTGAAATTTTGGTCTTGCTTACAAATTGTATATTAAGTCAATTTTTGTGCTGCCTTTTGAATACCCATCTTCACTAGCCAAGGGTTTCTGATCCAAATTGCTACTCAGACTATATTTTGGAATCAGAGACCCTTTCTGTTTAGGTTTTTGAAGATCGATGAATGGTTTTGTCATGTATCTTGTACTGTAAAATCCATGATCCCTTACAGTTTACACAAATGCAGTATATAGGGCAAGTTTTTACAATAAGTTATATAGTAGTAATTGATGTTAATTTTGATGCTGCATGTTAGTAAGCATGCTGATGAAATACGGTGCTGATATAAGAATCCCTGATGGACTTGGGTTCACTCCCAAGTTTCTGACCACAGGTATATATCGTTAATTGCATTTCTGTTAATTGCATGTCATTGATAACTTTTTGATTTCTTAATAGGAATTGTTAAATGGTGTTTTTAAGACTTTTTTTTAAGTCTTATCATTAAGGCAGTTTGATACTTGTTTCAGTGATTTGAATTTTATGCCACAAATCGGTTGCTTCAGTAAAAGCACCCGTTACCAATTTTACTTTGTTAAACAAGTTTTATGCATTTTATTTTTGTTTCAGGAGGTTATGTTTATACTAAACATTCATTAGTACTAACAGCTAATAGGTGGAGGAAAATAGGTCAGTTCAAGTAATTTTTGCAATTTCTAGATTATGATCAAATGTTCATTGAGTATGGTATTTTGAAAATCCTTAAAATCAGAATTTTCCTCAAGTAGTTTTCATTTGCTTAACTTTTTTTTTCAGCTGAGGTATTTTTTCCAGAGGGTTATAATTCTGTGGAATCACACTTTTCTAATCAATCTGTGAATAGAAAATTATGTGGATTTCTTCAATTAAAAGTAGTTGTATACAGTGCTCATCAATTTTATTTGAGCAAGAGCAGACAATTGGTCATTGGTCTTTCTTTTATTTAATTTTACAGGGCGTTATCCATGTGAAAAAGTGACTGAGTTTCTGCTAAAGAGCTGTGAAGTTTCCGATGTTAACCACCAGACCAAAACGGGGGCCACTCCCCTCCACGGGGCTGCTCTACAGGGAAATCTGGGTCAGTATCCCCGTGGTATAATAGCTGATCTCTTGTTTAGGTTAAATAAGAAGAATGTACTTAGTGTAATAATATGATGTATCATCACTGAATGGGGCAGCTCTACAGTGAAATCAGGGTCAGTATCCTTCTGATATGATAGCCACTGTCATGTTTTGGCTAAATGAAAATGGAACTGTGATACATGTATCAACATTGAAAAATATTTCCACAGAATCGAACTTCAAATTAATTGAAATACATTTGCACATACTAGACATGTTGCAGTAAAACTTGTTTATAACAAAGTTACTTGGACCTATGAAATTACTAAGCTATATCCATAATTTGTTATATCCGTAAAAGGAATTTGTTAAATTTATATAGCTGGGAATCCAAGATAAATTTGCTATATCCGTGAATTTGCAATATCCATGTTTTTACTAATTGAGTTTTACTGTATCATTGCATAAAAAATTTTAAGTACATTGTGATAACAGGTTGCATGATTTCAGTCAATGTTTCAATTTATCACTAATTCTTAATATGAAAATAAATTGTGATATCAGGTTGTATCAAGTTGCTGCTGGAACATGGAGCTGACCCTAAACTGGAGGATGAAGATGGCACCACAGCCCTGGAACTGGCCAAGGATAGTGCAACAAAAGCAGTCCTACACATGTACCTAATCCAGTCAGATATCAAACGGGACACAGTCGGTAAGAACACATGTACTTAATCCAGTCAGATATCAAACGGGACACTGTCGGTAAGAACTGGTGTACCTAATCCAGTCAGATATCAATCAGGATACTGTCGGTAAGAACTGGTGTATCTAATTCAGTCAGATATCAAACAGGATACTGTCAGTAAGAACACTCCAGTCTGATATTAAACGGGATACTGTTAGTAAGAACACAAGTACTGAATCCAGTCAGATATCAATGAGGATACTGTTAGTAAGAGTAATCCAGTCCGATATCAATCATGGATACTGTAAGTAAGAGCACATGTACTTAATCCAGTCAGATATTAAACCGGATACTGTCAGTAGGAACTCATACATTTAATCCAGTCAGATATAAAACTCTAGCTCTTAACCCATTCAGACACCAAACAGGATACTGTTGTGTATGTAAGAACTTGTGCAATTAATCCATTCAGATATCAAACAGAATACTGTTAGTAAGAACACTCTATTCAGATATCAAACAGGATACTGTTAGCAAGAACACATGTACTTAATCCAGTCAAATATCAAACGGGATACTGTCAGTAAGAACTCTAGCTCTTCACCCATTCAGATATCAAACAGGATACTGTTGTGTATGTAAGAACTTGTGCAATTAATCCAGTCAGATATCAAACACAGATTCTGTTGATAAGAACTCGAGCAATTAACCTGCTTAATCCAGACAGATATCAAATGGGATACTTGTAAGAAGTCATGCACTTCAATCTTCATCTTCTAAGATATCAATTAGGACACTATTTATTAGAAATAAAGCACTTCATCCAGTTAGATATCAATTGGGAAATCATTTTCAAGAAAAGAGTTCTGCACTTCATCCATGCAGTTAGAATACCTGGTTGTTTTTGGCAAAGAATTGAGTGAATTGAGAAAAGGTTGCATTCTGCAAATATTTATTTCCTGACAAATTAAAGTTTGTTTAAGGTTGTATGTCTGTAGATGTAAAAACTGTAAAAGTTTGTTTCTTTCAATTCTTGCATATTTCAGATACCTTAATTTTTAACCTGTAACATGATAAATACAGTAAAATATATTGATACTGTTGAATTTTGTTGAAGATGCTGTATGTGTGCAATGTAAACAAATTCCAAAGGAAGGTCTAAAGCGCTGTGGGGCGTGTCATGTGACCATGTACTGTGGCAAGGCGTGTCAGGTTCGTCATTGGCGGGAGGGCGGACACAAGAGAAACTGTCCAGGTCAGTCAAAGTCTGATTATAGGAAAGCTCAAGTACTGTACAGCAGGAAGTAAATGGGGGAGGGGACTTTGCTGTATTTTAAATACTTGTAGTTAATTCAGTATGAGCCTATTCACTGTAACTGTGTTTCACTGTAATCAGCTTTCTTTGCTCTCTAGTCAGTACAATATATTTGAAGCCGAGTGTTAATGTATTTTACAATGTAAGCTTGGTGTATTCTAGACTGTAAAGATAAATACGTACTGGATATGATATAAATACTCATCTTTTGGACAGGATCTGTGATTGCCAGACCATTCCGTGTGGGGGAGGACCCAAGTCAAAACTGTGTTCAGGTGTCATTTTACAGGGTCATGGGGTCAAACAAACCAAATGTCAAGGTCTTCAAAAGGACAGCAAAGGATGCTATCCAGAAAATGAAATTCATAGAGAAGAAGAGATTTGTGGTCAAAGTTCAGCTGCCTTTAAATGCAGTGGGTAAGGCAAAGTTTTGTTTCACAGTGAAAATAATGCAGAATTACACATTTAAATTTTGATTTAACAAAGCTTAAATTCCTCCATTACATTTCTTTAAACAAATACAATGTAGTATTTAATAAAATCCTTTCTAGATTTCAGTATTTTTAAGCTGTTTACATTATACTAGAAAATGACCCAGACCTATACTTTTTTATAGCAGTAGTTGCTAAGGAAAATTTTAATTAATAATTTTGAAATTCACAGTATTTGATGTAACCAATGGCATGCCTGCAATCAGTTGTTATTAAAGCACTTCCTTTTCAAGTTTCATTAGACCATTTTAGTACATATATTTTGATGATGACTCCCTCTCAAAAATCAAACACAGAATTAACTTGTTTGTAAGATTTTGAAACTGTTCGTCATTGAATAATTACAAGTGTACTTTGATCCCTTTAAAATAAAATGTCTTTAACTTTGAGTAGGTAGCTAGAGAGTGAAAGAGACACTGTGATGCACAAAGGGGAATATTAACAAATGTAGAATTTTTGCATGACCCGTGTTAATTTTGTTCAATTGATAAAAGTATTAGGTTTAAGAAAATTACAGGTTTCGGAACCTAAAAATTCTATTTTTATGGAGAAAAATTAAAAGTAAAAATAATTTCAGCATGCCCCATAACGAAAATATTGCAAAAATACTTCTTCCTCCCTATTGTACGCGTGTGCAGAAAAGTTGAATAAGTTTCCATAGTTACCATGGTCTAAAGTATCCACGAATGAATGTTAGTAGACCAAATATTTTGATGAATCTCATAAAAAGTTGTTTGAACATATTCTCACCTTTGCATGCTCCAGTTGAATGTTGTTTACAAGTTTGAACTAAAGATAAAAGTGGCCTGACCTTGACATACACGAAACAACAAAACAGTAGATACATGCAACCTTTGTTTTTCCGGCACATATATTGTGCAGTCTTTTCTTGCAGTTAAATTGTCATATCTTAGCTACATACTCATAATTTTCATAAGTTTTTCTCTGTATGCTACAGATATCTTAAAAGAAAGACGTGATTTTGACTCATTGTGTCCTTTTAATAGGATTAAAAAATGTCATTGAAAATTGAAGATGGAATATGCTGCAATAACATGATTTTGATAATCTAATTAACACTTTGCTTCAAATTTTTGCAAAAATACCTGTTGCATTTATCCAAATTATCACACAAGCAAAGAGTTGGATCACATAATAGAACCAAAAAATGAGATAATAAAATCATACAAACTTTGTTCTACTTTTTCAGGTAACAGTGAGATGATGGTTTACAATGCTGACAGAACTGTTGAAGGATATGTCTATCCTAATGAACCAGGTATATATCTAATACTGTGCATTTAATAGAGATTTTAATTGAGACATTGATTTTTTTACACCAAATTTGACAATTGACACGTATGTTGAGTTTAGAGATACATCTCAAAATTTATTTTTGAGACACCTTGACAAGATTTAATACTTTAAAATTTACTCTTTATTAATAAGACAAAATTTTCATGAATTATGGTACTTTGCTTTATATAATCTTTAGGAATTAGTGGAATACTAATATATACATGAGAATATTTTTATGAGCACACTATCTCTCCTAATTATGCAAATGAACTTTTTGCAAATAAAAAATTATTAATTTAAGTACAGTATTCCTCTTTTTTTTTAAATTACATATGTAACACAGTTCTCATCTTAAATTAAATTGAAGACAGTAACTAAGAAGAAATCCAAATGTTGTGAAACTTAATATGTAGACTATAACCTTGAACTTATGGAGTTAAGTGATTCAATATAAGAGTTGTACAAGAGCTGTTTAATTATGTAAATAATGTTTTTGTTTAATCAGAATAGATATTGGAATATGTAGAGTTCATATAACTACAATCTCATCAGAATTATGTTGGTTGGTCATTTCATTAAAGTCATTTTTTACCAATTTCATATACAGGGTATTTAAACCTGCAGAAAAAGATTCAGGTAGATGGATATCGTGGAATTAAGGCGTTTTTCTGGGCAGAACTGACAGATAAAAATGACGGCACGTTCCGCATCTTTGGTGGAAAATGTGCTCCCTACCAGACTTGGTGAAACAATGGCTAAGGGGAGTAATACTCCTTGTTGACCAGGGAAAGGCAAAATATTAAAACTTGTATTATCAATATTTAGACTTCAACTAAAGGTGATCTGCTTCATGCTCACAGTGTTATGTCAATTTTGGAGGTCAAAATTATAGTAGTGAAACTAGTGATTAAGAATGAAAGCAAAAATTGGTAGTGACTAAGATGGAAAGTAATCATTCATTGTACTAAAGTTATAGTATTTAGTTATTATAATCCTTTTGAACTAATAGTGAAAATCTTGAGTTAAATGAAAAAAAAATTAAATGGTGTGTAATTGAAAAGTAGCTTGATATACTGTATACAGATATTTTCGCCCATGTTTTTTTTTTTCGCCCTTTTGCAGTTGCAAACAATTTTGCCCCGTTTTAAATTCGCCTTGTCATAGTTTTGTTTAATGCCCTGTTCACACGGAGAATTTAATTCGCAGTAAATTAATGCGAAGTAAACTTATGCTAATCAAACTAATTCAAATTAAATTGCGTTCACACGACAGCTAATGCGAAGTAAACTAATGCGAATTAAAATTTTACTTCTGCAGCCTGGCGTCAGCACGGCTATTATGACGTCATTTGCAAATCACGTCACCTTATGCAGAAGCACATCCATTTGACATAATGGCAAAGTGTCTGTATACACAAATTTAATAATTAACACAATTTTTCTTAGTTTTTCACTCAAAAATAGCACAAGTACCTATAGCTGACCACCGACAAGTGGCATTTGACTGAATTTTGCCATTACGCATGCGTAAGAACTTAATTCGAATTAGCTTCGCTTAGCGTTCACACGGAGCTAATGCGAAGTAATTTAATGCGCAGTAAACTAATTCGAATTAAACTACGTGTAATTCGCATTAAATTCTCCGTGTGAACGCTAAGCGAAGCTAATTCGCAGTAATTTACATTCAATTTGAATTAAACTCTCCGTGTGAACAAGGCATTAGAAATTCTACTGTGTAATTTGAATTCGCCCCATTTTAAATTCGCCCAATCAAGAAGAGGGTGAAGGGGGCGAAAATAAAACGGGGCGAAATTTTCCCTGTATACAGTAATTTAAAAAGAATGTGACTGGTCTGAATGATGCATATTTTGGAAATTATTGTTTGAATAGTGCAAAGTAGCAGATTGTAGAGCAGTGCTTTATTTTTTACTCTGATTTTTTCTTATTTATTTCTATTACAAAGTTCTAGATCATATCTTTTTTTTATGCTTATTTATAAGAATCATTTAATTTAATGTAAGGATTACTATTGTAATTTTTTTCCCATAATTATTTATTTGTAACATTTTTTATGATTGTTGATTTTTTTTCTATAAACTTAAAAAAGATTTGTTAATACAAATAGCCCATAAATAATGGGTATGGCTTATCAAAGTTATATTTTTTACGCAGAATTGAATTCTGTGCGCATTTGTTTCTTCCCACTTTCTAAGATAAAACTTAATAAAGTCTTGTTGAAAAAATATTGAGTTTGTATTTTTTTTTTAGAGTTAAAAGTCAATTATCCTGGTATACATGTACAGTGAAAACAGTCTAATCTGACACCTGAATAACCCGACACACTATGAATTCCGACATTAAATTTCTTTCCCATTTAACTATTTATCATGTTTTTAACACTGAGCAATCTGACACCCTGTCTATTCCGACACAATCTTTGTCTCCCAGTGCATGTCAGATTAGACATGTTTCACTGTATCAATACAATAAAGTTTGCATTCTGATGACAGTTAGGCCCTGCATCCAAATGTTTGCTCTACATTTGAGGAGAAGGAGTTGAATTCTACATCAGGATGTTGAGACTGGTCCTGTGGATGAAATTATATATAAACTGAGGTCCCATGTCACAGTAAATGCTGACATGAAAAAACTGTCTTCACTGCTTCATGGCCCTGAGTGCCAATTTAAGGTGCAATTTTTAATTTGCAGCTCTCCATGGCATGTGGTGACATCTCCATATGTGTGAAAAATTCTTGTGAGGGACATTAAAACAACAAAATGTGAGTTTCCAATGATTATCATTTGTGTTTATTACATATTTGAAAGATGGAATACTAAATTCATAAAGGTGAAGTACAGCTTGAGTATTTTGTCAGAAAAGTCAACGAGGAAAAGTTGAAGTGATCAATTCGTTCATCACTTTCACATGATGTGATACATAAGAACTGTAAAAAAAAATTCAGTCCACTGAGTTTTGTTAAAAAAAAAAAACAGGAACAGAGCCTATTCAGGGCAAAAACTAACTCATCTTAAAGTGGAAAAATTGCTTCCTTTGACTGATACATGAAACAAAGAGTCTATTACAAGGAGTCATGATAATTTGTAGAAATAAACATGGTCAAGTTCTTTCATTTATGTTAGCTGGGTGACTAGAATCAATTCCATTTAGAGATTCTGGAGACCAGGTAGGTTAAATTTTGACAATAACCTTGAACTGCTTGACCCCAGAGGGATTCTTTAATAAAATAATTCCAATTTATAGTGTAATGAACAATGCTATGAATTTGGACTGATGGATTGTTTTTATTTTTGGAGGGTCATATTTTCCAAAGTTGATAAGATACATATACACTTGAATCAAGCCTCTGTCCTCTCAAACTTTGCCTCAGGAAAATGATACCTTCTCTTGAAACCATCACGTGGTAAATCTTAATACTATAACAGATATTATAACACTTTTTGTGATATCTAAGTTTTTATATTTTAGTAATGTCTTCTGAATAGTCAAAGGGAAACAAAATTTTGCAGCATGCACTAGAGTTGTGGTCAGTTTTACTAGCCCGTGTATTTCCCTGCTCATGTTTCCATAGTCACTCGGGTATTTACAAAACAGACATACACTCTTTTTATCTAAAATAAAAATTGGAAAACAAATTAAACTAAATATATGTCCAGAGGACATGAATGACCCGCAAAGTGTTACATGAAAAATTGTATTAGTGTATGAAGTCTGATGAGAATATCTTGAACAGTTTCTTTGAAATCGAAATCTAAAAAATGGATAAAGATTCTTACCAAGTTATGTATAATGCATGTTAACATGAAAATATCATCTTGAAAGGCTTCTTTAAAACTAAGCAAAATACAAATCAAAGAGAAGGGAAGACAAGGTCACGGGAAAGTGCAAGGTGAAAAGTTTTTGATGCAGTTGAATAGCTCTTACTGAAACGTATCAGTATATCATGTTTGATTAAAATATCTTAATTGGTTTACATGCATTTAAAACTGAGCTAAACACAAATAGAGGTCAAGGTTAAAGAAAAGCCTGAGGTCAAAAATGTTGATGTAGTTGTAAAGCTTACATGAGTATCTATTAGCGTATGAAGTTTGATAAAAATATCATAAATGGTTTATTAAAAACTTAGATGAACACAAATTTTAAAAAGTGAGGTCAAGGCCAAAGGAAAAGTCAAGAGCATAAAATACTGGAGTAATTAATTGATAGCTCTCATCAGTATGTATCAGCTTATAATGTTTGATAAAATTATCTTGAATTGTTTATTCAAAACTGATCTAGACACTTAATTAAGAAAAAAGAGGTCAAGATCAAAAGAAAAGTCAAGTTTAAAAATTTTGATGCAGTAGAAAAAGCTAACATTAGAATGTATCAGCATATGAAGTTTGATTACAGTAACTTCAATGGTTTTCTTTAAAACTAAGCTAAATAGTAATTTTTTTATTGAAACTTTCGCACACATTCGCTAATTTTTTATGCTTATTTAAGAAAGGTGAGGTCAAAATCAAAAGAAAGATCAAAGTAAAAATACGTTGATGCAGTTGAAAAGCTTACAACAATATGTTTCAACATATGAAGTTTGATAACACTGTCTTAAATGGTATCTTCAAAAATTGAGCTAAAACTTATTTAAGAAAAGTGAGGTCAAGGTCAAAGGGAAAGTAAAGGCTAAAAATGTTGATGTAGATGACAAGTTTACATCAGTTTGTATGAACATATGATATTTGATTACATTATCTTGTTATCTTGAATTGTATCTCTAAAAGTGAGCAAAACACTTATCTAAGAAAAGCGTGGTTAAGGTAAAACAGGAAAGGGCAAAGTCAAAAAATGTTGTTGCAGTTGAATAGCTTACAACAGTTTGTATCAACATAAGTTTCATTACGCTTTTTTCACTGAAATGTAAATAATTTTTTGAATTTTCTTTGAAAAAATACAACAAAAAAAACCATATAAAATAATTAAGAGCTAATGTCGGCCTTTCAATGCTGAAAACATTGTTTAAAAAGGTTGACTCAGAGATCTATATATAAAATAAAAAGTTGGTGTGGCTTAAACTGAGCTTTGAACTAAGCTAAATGGAAAGCGCGACGGAAGATGAACAGAACAAATGTTATATGCTCCGGCCATATTCATGGCGGGGCATAATAATAACTTTCTATTCAAATTAAAATTAGGAAGATAATTTTCCTCAGTCATATATAATTTGATTATATGATTTACAATTTATATTTGAAGAATCGCTAAAATTTAAAATATTAATGCCCCTTTATGGCAGCTTATGGTGTAGGTCAGAGATTATACAGATCCCCACTGAGAACTGCTGATAACGAATAGCATCATCACTTGCCGATTTGTGGACGGTGAATTACAGGAGGGAGTTTTAACCAGTATACTGCTAATGTTACTGACGGGTATTAGTCAGGTGTTTGTCGGGTACTTGAAATTAAAAAAAAAGAAGTTAGTTTTGATGTGGTACAGGAGAAGGAGAAAAATTGACCAGGACCTCCATACGCCATATTTAAACTCCATGATTTTAGTGATAAAATGGAAAAATAGGAAACTGATTTTGTTGTAGTATATTCAAAAAGATTAATCTATTTAAGTTACAAACAGATTTATAATTAATAAAAGGCTAATTTTAATACGGCGAAAGCACAAATCTTCTGCATTCTACTCACAGGTAACAAACAAATTTACACTCTGGTGCTAAACGGAACAGCGTTATTGCAGCATGGTGATCTCTATAGAGAAACGATCAACCGTGTTTCAGAGCATCTTTGTAGAATAGAAAAAAAGTCCGCATTTTAGTGAATGATGCAGAATAACCTCTTTGGTCTCGAAATGTTGTTTGAAATATAAAAGCCTCGGCTAACGCCGCGGCTTTTATCTTTCAAACAACATTTCTCGACCTCGGAGGTTATTCTGCAACATTCACGAAAACGCGGACTTTATTTCTTAAGTTAAAAAAAAAGATAAAAATAAAAG